CGGGAGGCGGAGCTTGCAGTGAGCTGAGATCCGGCCACTGCACTCCAGCCTGGGTGACAGAGCAAGACCCCGTCTCAAAAAAAAAAAAAAAAAAAACTGAATTTATGAAAGACTTAATTTTATGGAGGAGAGGCACTGACACATTTATCATAGAATTTTTAAAGAGTTAAAGAGTTACTTTGCCCACTTCATAGCAATATAATAAAGAAGAAAACAGATATAACATGGAAAAGCATTGTTCTAATTAGCTGATTTTCTGTATATATAAATCCATGTCGCATTCCTTTCTAATTGCATTTTGTATTTTTTGTCATATTTCTTTTAAATGAAAATGAGTAAATAAATAATTCTGTTCATTTGGAGTTTCACAAATTAAGGATTGAATTAGTTCCATTGATAGAAAAGAAATTTGCGAAGCAAGTGTGATGTTTAAAATTTATAATGGGGCTGGGCGTGGTGGCTCACGCCTGTAATCCCAGCACTTTTGGGGGCTGAGGCGGGTGGATCATGAGGTCAGGAGATCGAGGCCATCCTGACCAACATGGAGAAACCCTGTCTCTACTAAAATACAAAAAATTAGCGGGGGGTGGTGGTGTGCGCCTGTAGTCCAAGCTACTCAGGAGACTGAGGCAGGGGAATCGCTTGAACCCAGGAGGCAGAGGTTGCAGTGAGCCGAGATCATGCTACTGCACTCCACTCTGGCAACAGAGCGAGACTCCAGCTCAAAAAAAAAAAAAAGAGAAAGAAAGAAAAAAAGACAAAGAAATTCATAATGGGAAAGTTTACTGACTTAATCTAATCATTTGCAAGTGTTCTCTGTTTATATCTAAATCTAGCCACAGCCACAGAAGTGGAAATTCAGCAGTGCTAAGGTGGCTTATTGGTTTGCTAATTATGAACTACACTTATCTATTCATTATAAAGATTTTCTACTATGCTCATTAAACCTAGTTTTGGTGGATGCGTATAACCGAAAATAATGAAAGTAGTGGAATTGAATATAGACTATTCTTGATTCTGACTTTACACTTACACCAATCTGTATCACAGACATATGATGTGACAAGTAGTTGGACTGAGATTCAAGATTATCAAGAAGATTATTGGAATCTGGTTTTATACCAACTCTCATTAATGAGCCCTAAATATATATATATATACTGTGCTTTGAAATATTAGCTGACAGTAGCACATACTAATTATTTTTTAATGCAAATACTTGTATTGGGAGTGATTGTTTTAAAATGCTTCCTATAATGGTGTACGATTATACAAAGTTTGGGGACCTTTGGAGACCTGCCGAGACAATGAGCATATGCTATTCATTACTCTCTTCCTAAAGCTTATCTCCTTAAGCTTCCTTGCAGAATAGTTTGTGTAATTACAAAACCATTACAAAGGAGAATTAACAAAACATTTGGAAAGGTGGATCCAATTTTATAGATTCAGAAACATAATTTGTTAACAGGCTCGATATTCTCTTAGTATCTCCACCAGCACTGTCCAATGGAACAGTATGCAATGACAGAAATGTTCTGTGTCTGTGCTATCTGGTATAGTAGCCACTAGCTACATGTGTTGGGCACTTGGCATGTGACTAGTGTGGCTGAGAAAGTGAAGTTTTAGTTGCATTTAATTAATTAAAAATCAATGGCTGGGTGCGGTGGCTCACACTTGTAATCCCAGCACTTTGGGGGGCCGAGGTGGGCGGATTACGAGGTCAGGGGTTCAAGACCAGCCTGGCCAACACAGTGAAACCCCGTCTTTACTAAAAATAGAAAAATTAGCTGGGCATGGTGGCGGGCACCTGTAATCCCAGCTACTTGGGAGGCTGAGGCAAGAGAATCGCTTGAACCTGGGAGACGGAGGTTGCAGTGAGCCGAGATCACACCACTACACTCCAGCCTGGCCGACAGAGCTAGACTCTTATTACAATAAATAAATAAATAAATAAATAAATAAATAAAGTAAATAGCCACATGTAGCTAATGCCTACAGTATTTGGCACTTCAGTTCTTGAGAGAGATTACAGAGTCCCTTCTAAGATCCCCTAGCACTGAGCACTGTGCCTGAAACCTATTAGCCAGATGAAATGAGAAATCAGGAAATGCAGCATATACACAGGAAGACAAAAACCCCCAGGCACACACACATATCGTTGAAATGACACTGAACTCATTCACCCAATATGGAATGTAAAAGGAATTCATTTAGGAAAATATCATCGAAAGTTCTTTGCTGCTGGTTAATTCATACAGGGTGAAACTAAAAAGAAAAAAAACTTTCTGTGTGGTTAAACTGGGTGACCAAGCAGATAAGATCCTATGAAACCCATAAAAGCTTGTTAGATCCCTGCCAAGGCTTGAGATCTGTAAGACCATGGAGTGACTTTCTTTTGAGACGACAGCCCCTCTGGGTGAGGTAGGAGCCATTCCCACCTCCTGCTGTGTGTTCCAAGCCTCCTCCCTGAGTCAGTGGCAGGCACTTCAGGGCAGCGTCCTGTCCTGTCACTAGCGTGTAGCTAAGGAAACCTGGCTGAATGCATTGTTACTATGGCTCCGTGTGCCAGATCTCCAGGGCTGAGCATAACAGAAGAAGCTTAAGGACACTACATGCAACAGCCAGCGAGAGCGGGAGACATCGGCGTTTCCAGAGACCAGACCCACCATAGTAAGTGAGAAATGAATGCTGGATTTTCCCCATCAGGCAATTCACTGGTTTCCCTCATTTCCTTTCTACACTAACACCTGACACTTCAGAAAGTGGTCATATTTGTCATCACTGAGACGTCAACTAGAGATAGATTGCCCAGTTTCAAGATTTCAAATGAAATAAATTTAATTTAAAATAATAGCAAATGCTTTTTTTATATATAATACTGAGAACTCAGAAGATGATGAATTCATAACTGGTGTATTTATGTATTTATTTGACTGGTAAATGTTAGAAACCATGCGACATGCTAGAGATAAAAGAACGAATAAATGAACACAGATTTAACTACACATTTTATTTTTTAACTACTTCCAAAAATGATTTGTGCTAGATTGTAGAAATTTTATTTTTTCATTTTTCATTTTTATTATTTTTTAATACAGGATCTGGCTGTGTCACCCAGGCTGCAGAGCCGTGGCTTGTTCTCGGCTCACTGTAAACTCTGCCTCCCAGGCTCAAGCCATCCTCCCACCTCAGCCTTCAGAGCAGCTGGGACGGACTACAGGCACAGGCCCCATGCCCAGCCAATTTTTTTGTATTTTTGGTAGAGGTGGGTTTTGCCATGTTAGCCAGGCTGATCTTGAACTCCTGGGCTCAAAGCAATCCACCTGCCTTGGTGGGATTACAGGTATGAGTCACTGCACCCAGCCAGATTGTAGAAATTTTATCAGAAAAATATTTATTATTGTAGACAACACATCATTAAATAGTCAAATGATCTATTAGATATAAAGGCATCAAAAACCTATTCGATCATTTTAGAAAATGACATTTTAAGGATTTGAGAAGTCACCAGAAGAAAATTCAAATTATTATCATCTCAGAATACTAGGAAAGACATTTTAAAAGTGTGGCACTTTAATTTCGCTTTTTATTAGTTGGTGGGTCTTAAACAAGGTATATCAACAACCTCTCGAATTTACTAGATCCATGTCATAGAGAAGTTTTCATTTTATTTGAATTTCAAAGTTGAAAGACTAAAATGCAAATACTCTGAAAGCAAAATTGCTGGCAAAAAGCTCGTTTGCATTTACATTTTCTAAGCTCCAATAGATCCCTACCTACCTTTTAAAGATTTTCTAAGGCCACCAGGACATTATATTTTTAAACATTGGCAGCTTACTACCGTTGGAATTTTGTTTTGCCCACCTGTTCGATAGGAGGTGACCTATCTCTGAACTATGGTTGATGCTTTCTTTCTGCATACTTCCAGGCTACCATTTACTCCAGCAATCATCAAAGCCAGGGAGTACTGAAGAACCGGGGACTTTGGGTTAACACACATGAGTGGCAGACATCACCCCTCTCGACCCAGCTGCCCCTCTAAGGGGCTTTGAGAAAAGCATAAGATAAAATAAATGATCCTGGGGCTAGGTTGGATACTGGCAGTCCAATTCTACAGGAAAGCAGAAGACCATTGGAAAGAGAGATCAGATGCTGGAAACCAAGATGAATCTGGGAAGACAGAACAATCAAATGACAAATTGGGAGCAGGTGAGGGGCCAGAGTGATGGGAGAGGGCCAGGAGAGATGAGAGGGAGCTGAGAGGAAGGTAAAGACTAGGATGGTTTCGGAACCCATTTAGGGACACTGAGCTCTACTTTCCATATGCTGTCCTTGAACAACAGGCCTGTTCTTGGTGGGCAAGGGATAGGTCTTCCACCCCATACTATCCTGAACAATGTCATCTCTCATAGCTTGGGGTTTACTATTTATTTTTAAAAAATTAACCCAGGTATTGTGATTTTATTTTTGACTTCTACACTGTCAATAGCCAACAAACAGGACTTCAATCCTATCATCAGAATTATTAGATACAATGCAATAACCAACCCAGGATTTGCCCTCATCCATGAGGGCCCTACAAGGAGAATCCTTTCGTTGTCCTTCTGAGTGTCACATTCCTTCAACACCTGCAAGCTTCCCAAAGTGACTTCAAAACTGCCATGCAGCAGTAGGGACATGGCTCCTTATTTTCACAGTGATTAATATTTACTGAGAACCTGCTGTTTACAGGCACTTTATATACATTATCCTTCTTCATGTGCGTAACAACCCTGTGAGGGAGGTAGCCATATCCCAGTTGAAAAGGATAATCCGAAATGCAGACGGGTTCAGAAAGTCTGAAACACATACAGCTGCTACATGTCATGGCTGGGTTTGAAGCAGGCCCCAGCTCTCTTCCTTATGCTGTGATGTTTCTGTATTGTTCAGATCTAATGTTCTGTGGCCCATTTTGCCCTGGCATCACAGAATTAGCACATTATCAATTCCCTAATCACATGGCTGCTTCTTAGCCACACATAATTCTACTCTATGTTAGCAAGCTGGGCTCAGCAGTTACTTTGATCTTTTTTTAAAGGCTGCAGTGAACATCCAGTAATAATGTATGAGCAACCTAACCTTTCAAAGTGGAAATATGTCTAATGGTCACAACCACCTCTCCTTTCAACTCCCTTACCCTCACATCACCATTGCAATTATTCCTTAATCATTGAAACCTCTAGTCCATTGATGCTGTCACTCTTTCACAATTTTCACTACTCTCCAAACCTTGCTTCTCTTTTTGCCCAGCTTACAATTCATGACCCATTTCTAAAATCATTTAATTGAAAACATGCTCAATTTTCTGGCCCCACTCTCCCTGTACTTACCTGGCTAGACTCCAACTCTTCATGAGCCTAACTAGCCATTTTCTCTATGCCTAGAGATTAATCACATCTGTTGTCCCGGCTGTACTTTAAATTTGTAATCTCAGGCCTCAAATAGGCCCTTAGTACTGTGGAAGAGTCCTACTAGTTTTCCCTAATAAAGTTCCCCTTTGAGTCTTTGAAATGACTATTTCACATTTCCTCTCTCCCAAAATCTCTCAAACTCTCTCACTCCCTATTCATAGCTGATGACTTAGACTTATACTTCATTGAAAAAAAAATCCAAGATCAGACAAGAGTGCCTTCATCTAGTCAAATCTATGTACCTCAGTCTCTGTGCCATATTGTGTCTGCGCCCATATTGTCTTTGCCTTCCCTGTTTTTGAAATAGGAGAAATGTGTCTGCTTCTATCAGAAGTGAATCCTTCCAGTCCTCCTCTGATCCTACCCACCCTCACCTTTCCAAGGATTCTCGTTCTTACAGTTAAACTCCTTCTCTTCTGCAACATCTATGGCTTTCTCCACAAGATGTCATTTCCAGACAACATATATGCAAGTTCTGTGAACTCCCAAATTACAAAAACCAAAAAACCTTAAAATACTTCCTTGGTTTTCATCATTCTCTTTTTTGGTTACTCTATCAAGATTCTGTTTTTGTTTTTTTTTTTTTTTCCTTTGTTTTGGTGGTTGTTGTTAGTGTGTGTGTGGTTTTTTGTTGTTGTCGTTTTTTGTTTGTATGTTTGTTTGTTTTTAAGACAGGTTTTATTATGCTGCCCAGGCTGGAATGCAGTGGCAACCCGCTGCAGCCTTAACCTTCTAGGCTTAAGCAATCTTCCCACCTCAGCCTCCTGACTAGTTGAGACTACAGGCACGTGTCACCATGCTTGGCTAATTTTTTTTTTTTTTTTTTGTAGAGAAAGGGATATGACTATGTTGCCCATTCTGCTCTTGAACTCCTGAGCTCAAGTGATCCTCCTGCCTTGGCCTCCCAAAGTGCTGGGATTACAGGCATGAGCCATTACACCTGGCTTCAAGCTTCTACTTAACCATTCAAGGGCCACCACAATCTTATTATTGCTAGATTCTAGGTGCACTCCTCCTGTTTTCATTGTTCTCACCTTCTTCATAGCCACCTCTGATCCAACTGTCCAATTCCTTCTTGGAAAACTTTTCTCTTTTGGTTTTTATGATGAACACTTTCCCATATCTAGCTCTGGCCAATCATTTCTTATTTCTTTTACTTTATCTAATCTCAAAATATTGAGATAATGCCAGAGCATGTCTCAATACTGGGCTGACTTCTAAATCTATGTGCAGTCTCTCCAGGAGATCTTGTCCAGTTCCTGACCATTAATGTCAGCTATGTTCCATTTGTCATTCATCCGACACCCTGAATGTCGGACTCATAATCAACTGATTACTGGTACCTCCACTTGATAACAAACATTGATTTCTCTGGCACTTCCCATCAGAAGCCTGTCCAACAGCCACTCCTCCCTTCTTCTTTGCCATCAGAACCTTGATTTTATGCAGTTCCCAGGGGACCATGGTCTTCAGGGTGACTGGTTATCCAAGTGACACTCGATTAGTCATGGCCCCATCATGGTAGCTCAATTCCTATTGTCAGCAATGGGCTTAAAAATTGGAATGCACATGTGACACAATTCTGACCAATGAGTTGAAAAGAAAATCTGCTATAGAACTTCCTGGGATATTTTCCTTGCTATTAAAAAGGAATATGTAAGTCTCTTCCTTGTTTATCCTATATCTTATTGTCTATAAAGCCCTCTATCATCGGGCCCTTGCTAATCTTTTTCATCTCATGCCATTCCTTCTTTCTTACTCAGCACACTGGCCTCCTCTCTATTTTTCAAACCCACCAGCTGTCAGGGTCTTTGGCCTTGCTGGATGCTTCCACTGAATGCCTTTCCTCAAGTTCTTTGCATGCCTTGCTCCTTCTTGTCGTGTAGGATTCAACTCAACTGTCATCTGTTTAGAAAGGCTTCCCCAGCTTATCCCATTATAATCATAAATGATAGGTTATATTTATATTTCTGTCATGACTTGCTGTATGACTTATCATAATCTAAAATTACCATGTTATATGTTTATTTTCTGTCTCACCCAAGGATCATGAGATCCTTGAGAAGCTTATCCTTAAAGGACTATTAATGCTTCTTCAAGACTATGATCTTGTGCTATATTTTCAGAGCCTAGAACATTGCTTGGAATGTTGCATTCACTGAATTGTTGAATGCATACTGAGCTCTAATATTGAAAATATATCATAGACATGGCATGACT